TTTTTGCTTGCCTCCATTTTTACTAATTGTCTGTAATCCTCAAAGGTTTTAATTTATTTAATCCAGCGTTAAAGCAGGAAGCCGTAAATGGAGTTTTAATTGAGAAATATTCATATAATAGCCTAGTGTTGCCATGACAGTGAATTCCCTATATGATGAAAAGTTTGATTAAACTACAAGTCCTGGTGTGGCACTGTGAGTTAATGTGTTAGACTGCAAAGCTGTTTGAGCTGCAAGGTCGGCGGTTCAAATTCACCAGCTGCTCTCTTGGAAATCCTATACAGGGTCCCTATGCACTAACAATAACAACAACAAAAAATACCATAATAAAACTTTCTAAATTAGTACGTGCACGAACAGATTCAAGGAGCCCTGATTAAGTGCTCAACTGCTAAACCAATCAGCGGTTCAAACCCACCAGCCGCTCTGCAGAAGAAAGATGTGCTAGCTGCTTCAGTGAAGATTTACAACCCTGGAAACCCTATGGGGTAGGTCTACTCCCACAGGGTCTCTTTGAGCAAATTGACTTGACAGCAGTGGGTTTGGTTTGGGTTAACAGATTAGAGATTAAGCAAGCAACTCTTTATAGCTTAAATGGGTTCAAGTAATTTATTATAGTTTTCTCATGGCAAAGCAAAAAAGCATTATCTCTTATGGTTAGAAAAGAAACAGTAGTACTATTTGTGATGTTTGAAAGGTGCGAACTGACTTTGTCCTCGGCCAAATGGATAAAAACTAGCATTTCTCCACCACAAGGGGGCAGTAGCGCTCAATAGTTAATGGAATGCAACAGAAGGTTCCGCGGTTTCCTTGGAATAATCCTAACGATTCAGGCACCAGTCTCTTGTTGGAAAGGGCAGGGTAACAGGAATAAACATCCAAGACACGTTCGGAGCTTTGGTCCTTGCTAACAGTAAGACAGGAAATAAGCAACAGGAGTTTGTCAAAGGGGGCTACCTCGCCCCCCTCCCCTTGTCCCTGAATCACCGTGGAGATGGCAGACTCGCTTAATAATGGCTGCAGATAGGGGCCTGTTCATTTGGATGTTCAGATAAGAACACTGTGGCAGGCGTCAAAGGAACAGAGAGCTCTGATGGGGATTCAAGAAGGGCAGAGTAAGAGCAGTGGGGAGGGGCAGAGCTGTTATATCTCAGAAAATTACTTAGGGATGGTTTTAAGAGGGTTTTAGAGTGAGCTTTAATTTAGATTCATAACATTGACACAATGTTAAAGAAAAAGTAATCTTTAGGAACCTAGAGCATTTACTTTGTAAAGCTCCTAGAAACTAATTAATACAGAGGGATCAATTATAATAAATGCTCCCTCAGTGTTTTAAATATAAGTGCATATGTTGATTCGTTTCGCATTGCCCATAAAATGAGATGAATTGGATATTGTTAATGTGGCCTCATTACCGCCATCTGTTCTTCTTTTTTACTCATAATTGTCACTAATGTTCCTGACCTATAATCTGGAAAGATTTTTAGTATTTGGGAAACGTAATTCAATTTTTCCATAATTTAATGTTGTTTAAATTCAACATTTATTGAACACTTACAATTGAGTGAGAAAAGACAGTGTCTGTGTGTGTGAAGAGAAAATTACAGAAAAATTCATTGTACCCAATTGTATGTTTTATAGTCAGCCTCAAATAAAAATTGAGATTTGTGAATATTGTCTATATTTCATGTACCTTTCCTATAC